AATGTCGTTATGGGGAAACAGTGTGGAAGGTGGCCCGGAAGAGGTTTTAAATACTCATGTTAGAGAAAAAGAGAATGAAGACTGACATCATGCTTTTTAATGAGTTCTGACAAAGATGAACGATGATTCAAATTCTCCTTCTTACCTACCCACCATGGCTTAAGTGTCTCTCCAGGAAAACTCTAGATGTTTGAAATTGCATCTTATAATGCCCCTTCATTAACACTGGTTCCGTAACTCTGTACTCAAAGCCACAAAATGAATGAGGAAGCTCCCCCTTTCTGAAATCCCAACAGGACAGAAGCAATGAGGACCCCCCTCCAGGAAACAGTTCCTGTTTGTCTCTATTTCCCCTGACACAAGTGACATTCCTTCTTGTCTTCTGAGAAGTCCCAATGTTTAGCAAAGAACTCTTTGTAGTAAGTTCGCTACTGTGAAACCCAACTGTGTTTTCACAAAATATCTTCCATCAGTCATGATTCTCTGAACAGTCTTTGCAATTGACCCCTGGCCAGGAGATCAGTGCCCCAGAGAGGAAGGCAAACACGTCAGCTGCCCCCAGCATGGGGCCTGAAGCCATTATCCTGTCACAGTGTCATTGCATTGAGATCAACTTGAAATCAATGTCAAATCACAGTGAGATGCCAAGGAGACCACTTACCGTGGCCACCCGGAGCCTATTGTACCTATCCTGCTGACTCTAACTCCACCCCCTTGGCATGTGGAAATGCAAAAGTCAAGTCTCAACTTTCCAGTCAGCAGCACTAGAGGGAAGTCCAATGGACCAAGCCTGGGACTTCTTGAATGCTTGACAAGGCACTTGCCTGAATGGCTTTGGGTTGGTGATCTGCAGTTTTACTAACATCCAGCCAGCTTGTTGTGAGTCTGTCTTGTGACCCACTCCGTGGTATGCACGGCTCTTCCCAACATTGTAGGAACATGGAGAAGCCTTGCCTTGGAATGAAAATAAAAGCAACATCTAACAACATAGCAATACACTTATCCCCTAGTGACCCTAAGGAGTAGGTTCTGTGACCCTCATAGATGCGGAAGACTCTAACAGGAAGTGGTGTGTCTGCTCATGGCTGCCCACATCCTTCTGTGACCTTGAACTCATCTTCACGAGAGTTCTAATAGCTACTACATCATGGTCACCGTGAGAGATGGCGGCAACTGTAGTGATGGCCCTCTGACGTCTCGGTCACTCCTTTCTAGACTTCTGAGTCCCGGGTGAGTTGTGAAGGGAACTTCCCCTTATCTCCACCATCACTTCAGCTGGGTCTCCATGCATGGGACACCCGCCGGTGACACTGTTCTATGGACAGGTTCTCCTGTGGTTTCTGCAAGCAGGATACTGAGGTGCATTCTAATGCAGATTTGTTCTTTGCAAATATATGTCCACCTGATTGTCACTAATCTTTTTTTTTTAAGAATGATTAATTATTTTCCATCGTGAATGTCATTTAGAATCAATATGGAAAATGAATAATAAAGAACAAATCCCTGTAGCCCCACTGAGCAAAGCCCATCTTGGCTAAAGTTCATTGACTTTGCTATTTTCTTGTTTTGTTTGGGTGGTGCTCTGGATGGATTCCAGCGCCTCAAACATTCTAGGCAAGTGCTCTACAGCTTGGATATTTTTCTAGTGTGAGTTTTTGGTGACTTCTTTTTTGCCGCCTGTGTTTACACTATGAGCAATGTAGTACAGTTTTCAGGAGACCTACCTCTGGGGCCAGGCAGCTTGGGGACAACCCTCATCAGGCTGTGCCATTTCGACTGAGTCTCTCAATGTCTGTGATGGCTGATATTAATTATTAATTTGATTGGATCTGGAATCACCAAGGAAGCAAGGCAGTGGGCATGTTTGTGAGGGAGTTTCTAGACTGCATTAGCTGGGCTGGGAATAAAATGTCTACTCTAAGTGTAGACAGCACTGTCCTCTGGGTTTGGATCCTGAACTGTGTGAGAACGGAGGAAGCGAGCTGAGCAGTGAGCATGGGCTTGTTTCTCTCTCTCTCTGCTCTGGACTGCAGATGTGATGTACTCCCTGCTTCAGGTTCCTGTTGCTGGAGGGTCTCTCTCCAGGTTCCACCAAGCCCTGCAGTCCCATAATCCACGTATAAAATAATCACTCAGACGCTTATATTACTTACAAACTGTATGGCTGTGGCAGGCTTCTTGCTAACTGTTCTTTTATCTTAAATTAACCCATTTTTATAAATCTATACCTTGCCATGTGGCTGGTGGCTTACCGGCATCTTCACATGCTGCTTGTCCTGGCGGTGGCTTAGTGTCTCTCCCCTCTTCTTCCTGTTTCCCCAATTCTCCTCTCTCCTTGTCCTGCCTATACTTCCTGTCTGGTCACTGGCCATCAGTGTTTTATTTATATAGAGTGATATCCACAGCAGGTTCCTGCCTTGATTTCCCTCCTATGTGACCTGGAATTCCAAGCCAAATAACCTCTTCCTACCTGAAAGTGGCTTTTGTCAGGGTGTTTTGTCACAGCATCGGAGGTGAAGCCAGGACAAGTCATTTCTCTCCTTTGTCGCTGGTGATCCGATGCAGCTTGTCAAGCTGGTGGCAGGTGCCTTTCCTCCCAGAGACATCCCCAGCCCACTTTGTCAGGTATCCAATTGTTGTCACAGGTGACTAATGCCATTCCGAAAGAGCTGGCATCTTAGTCAGTCAGTGGAGATTGACATTTCTTAGAACTGAATCATGAATGGAGCTCCCCAAGAATCAGCAGCGGGATTTAAAATACATACACACACAGAGACTGCTCTGAATGCGTAATATAGGTGAGTCTGTCATCACTGTGAATGTAACAGATCTTCTGCCTTCTTCATTTTCCCCTCTGCCTTTTCCTTACTGTTGTTACATAAGAAATTTTAAAATCATATGATATGCTTTCAGTATTATTTTAGTGAGTCTGGGGTCTCTCTCTCTCTCTCTCTCTGTCACACACACACACACACACACACACACACACACACACACGCACCCCTCTTACTTATTTAACACTAATTGCATGTCTACTGCAGGTTATGTACTGAGCTGGTAATGGAGATACACAGATTATGGAAAAGCATCTTTACAGCAAGCGATTTGAAGATGAGCACAAGATTGGGTACCCAGAGTGGGATGTGATAAAAGAACAGTGAGGATTTGATCTAGAACTCCCCGCCCCCGACACACACACACACACACACACACACAGAGAGAGAGAGAGAGAGAGAGAGAGAGAGAGAGAGAGAGAGAGAGAGAGAGAGAGAGAACTTCTAGAGCGGACTGGGCCAGAAGGCTTTCTCCTGGGGACAACCGTGGTTCTATTAGCAAGTTCTCTCGTGCTGGACATTTATATTATTTAGATTTTCGTCAAAGACTATGAGCATGACTGACATTGATAAGGCAGAAATGTGAAGCAACTGGTCACATCACAGCCCGTGGTCAAGAACAGAGAAAACCAATGCACGCACGCTCACTGCTCAGCTCTTCCTCTATTATACATACAGTTCAGGACCCAACCACAGGGAACAGTGCTGCAGCTAAGGCTGGGTCTCCTCCCATCAATTAACATATTCAGGACAGCCTCCCATAGACACGCCCACAGGCCAGCCTGATCTAGCCACTCCCTCATGGAAACTCTTCCAGGTGACTGTGGCAATTAAATATCTTAAATGACATTCAGAGCATTGTTCTTCCTGACAGGGTCACAGAAGTGAAAGTCATTGCGAGTCTGTCTTCAGAAATAGCATGTAAGTGCCTGCTTCCTTGAGTATTTCAGAGAGCAGTGAACAACCATTTCACACTTAAAAAGAGAGGGAGAGAGAGCGGAGGACTGTCTCGGTGTCTGATTTTCCAATCATTTGGTCACAAGACACAGTGACAGTGTTTCCGCGGCCCATCCCGTCTGTCTCTCCTCGTTAGGAATGGTAAGCCTCCTTGTCACTGGGATTGCTGCTGCCCTTTTCCCCTGCCTTTTGTTCTTTTCTCTTTCCTGGTTCTGAGGACTGAACACAGGGCTTCTCACGTGCCAGGAAAGTGCTCTACCACTGAGGTGTACCCCAACTCCTCCTTTTACTTTTAAGTTTGAGACAGGGTCTCACTAAGTTGCCCAGGCTGCCTTTGAACTCTCTGTCGCCCAGGCTAGCCTTGAACTTGCCTCTTGAGAAGCTACTGAGCTCAGTCCTACTGTTCTCATGGCTGCGTGTGAAGTCTGCCCTGAACTATCAGCTCTCTCCTGTAGTTGTTATTGTTAGCTCCCATTTTATTTTAATCAGGTCAAGAATCTATAAACAGCAACAAAACTGTGTGTCTTTGAGCCTACCTTGCCCTGCATTCAGAGCCATCTGTAAATTGGATCCAACCTTCTTTTCAGGCTGCCATGCTGGGCTCCAAGACCTGCCCAAATGGAGAAAATGACCCACCTTCCCATGAGCATTCTGCAGTCACTCTGAAGAGACAACAGACACCTGTACTTTGGGAAAGCCTTAAAGATGATTCTGGGACCTGCTCGTAATTAATAGCTACTAATTAGGAATCGGAACCAAGGTGAGACAATTTAGCACTGGTAACACCAGATCTTGGAATGATCTTGAAATACATGGCATAGCTAAACCCATGACTCTAGCAGCTGTGAGCAGAAGCCACAAAGTTCAACTGACTGAATCTCAACAGGGCTCCATGGACAGATGTGCTATGAACATGGCTTACTCCATGTCAGGCTAACTGAAAAGAAGCCTCATGCCCAGCGCAGGTGACGATGTGTAAAGACAGTAATTAACAGCATCAAGGAAAAGCCTCAGGTCGCCTGGTGTTGGCACAACTGAGGAAAAACGAGCCGCTTCCTTGAAGCCAGAGCAGTTTAGCAATGCAAGGACCTGCCTCAGAGGCAGTGAGTTTCCTATCGCTGGACCTGCTGCGGTGGAGGCTGGAACACACTTGGATGGTGTGTTAGCTTTGTTTAAGTTGCTAAGATAAAACACCACTGCAAAAGCAGCTTAAAGGAAAGAAGCGTTTATTTGGCTCACAATTCCAGGTCATGGTCCATCCCTGCAGGGGAAGTATCAGGAACTTGAAAAAGCCAATTGTATAACATCTGTAATTAAGAGCAGAGAGCAAAGGATTAATGCATCAATGTATACTAGTGCTCGGCTAGCTTTCTCCACTCAGATACTTCAGGATCCCTTCCTGGGGAATGATGCTACCCACAGTGTACAAGTCTTCCAACAGGCCAGCCTGATCTAGACAACCCCTAACGAAGACTCTTTTCCCAGGTGATTCTAGACTGTATCAAGTTGACAACTGAAAAAAAAAATCACAGATGATAACATCATGAAAGATCCCAGGACAGAAGGCCGCAGGTCTAGCCACATAGCCTCTCCTTTAAAACCCAGCAACCCATTACAGAAGAAAGAACACATGGCTAAGGAGGAAATCGTCTCTTGATGTCTTGCTTGGGATGTGATATCTACTCACCAGTAACTCTAGTGTTATTTGGGGCTCAGTATGTTGTTGTAGCTAAAGTTTATGCAGCTCACAATCCTGGGGTGCTGGTGTTAAAAACAAGTGGCCTATGTTCAGTCGTCCTCAGTCTTCTTCGCTCTGGTCACTGCCACATCTCAGACTGTCCTCAAATCCCTCCCTGTCCTCACAAGAAGCACTTTCATGGTCTTTGGGACCCACAGCAAGTGACCTCATAGATTTAATCAGAATCCCAGCAATCGCAGCCCGCATGTTGTGAAACATGGCCCAGGCCAGTCAGAAGCTTAAGAGGCAGTGATGCTCAGTGGTGTGTTCATGAACGATTCAAAGAGAAGTGACCACAGAAGCCAGTATGCAAACAACTCTGCAAAGTATTCCGGGAAGGAGCAATTCCATGTTCACCCTGACCTTCATAATGACTTTTTCATGGTTAAGGGGTACAGTGAGCTTCGGAAAGCCTACAAAGGCCTCACAGGTGATCTCCCTGGAACGGCATACTAGAAAGGACATTGTAGGGAACACAGAAGACTTTGGGCTCATAGACATGCGCTAGGGGACCCTGGAAGGTTAAGCATACAGGGCTGTTCCTTCAAGGGAAGGAATGCAAAACCTGTTTTCCACCCAGAAGGCTGGAGCACGCATGCTTTCCAGCCTGATGACCTTTACATAATCTGTGTGGCTGGAGACTTTCCGGCACTTCAGACCCTTCTCGTAAACTTGTTTCTCAGGCAATCTGTAGAAGCCATCTCTGTGGCAGGTGTCAAATGTGCTTTACAAAGAGTTTCGATGTAGTTGTCTAATCTGCATTTAGTTTACTTTGTCCCTCAAAGGGATTTAGGTGTGCTTTGTTGGGCATGTAGGATTGAGAAAATCATCACAAGAATGGTTTTCCCCAGATTGAAGTCTGAAAGAACACTAGAAACTGATTCCTGTTGTGTCCAACTGTTGTCTTGCTTCCCGAAGCTCATGAAGGTGTCTGTGAAAGTCACAGAGACTCCCACAGGATATGGCCCTCATAGTTCCCAAAAGAAGGAGACTTCCTGGAGGCAGTGGGTGCCTCTAAGGGATTTTTAATTCATGCATCAAGCCAGTTTCAGAAGAGTTATTAAGCCAGGAGTAAAGGAGGGACCATGAGGGATAGGAAGCACAAGGGCGCCCCTGGCAGGCAACAGGAGGGGATATGTTAGCGGGAGGGGAGAAGCTGAGGAATTGCATGCAGAGTGGTTTCCCTCGAAGGAAGAAAATGCAAGCTGTGAGTGGACATGCCACACACATAAATGAACACATCTTCATCTTTCCACAATGTGACAATTATTAAATAATAAATTCTCAGACTATGGGGGCTTGAGAGATGACTCAGCAGTTAAGAGCACTTGCTGATCTTGCAGAGGACCTGGGTTTAGTTCTCAGCACTCACTTGGTGACTCACAACCATACAGCAGAACTCTGATTGCAGGGAATCCAACATCCTCTTCTGTCCTCCACCAGCACATGCATGCATAGAATATACATACATACATGTAGCAAGACACTCATACCTATACAATAAATAAATAGGTTTTAAAAATACACAAGCTATGTCAATTTCTTTGGGTATATTTATCAAGGAGTCCCGATGTCTTTTGATAGTTGACTGCTGGCAGTCACAGATTCTTTTAGTCCAATTTTAATTACTAATACTCTCAAATCATGTATTCCACTTCATACAGTAATATGTTTGTATGTGTGTGTGTGTTTGCTTCAGAATGGCCACAAAGGGGCCATCATGGAGGCAGAGATCTGGTCCAGGGACAAAGAGAGACACATCAGGTCTTATTAATGTTAAAGAAACCATTTGGAGAGCTTCATCAGTGCATGCAGAGTTACTGGGAGCATGCAGAGCTTACTGGAGCCCTGGAACCTGGCCAAGCTACTGAAGAACTGAACCGTTGAAGAAGAGGGTGTAGAACCTGCATTCTGATAGATGGTGGACAGACAGATGGATGGGTGGGTGGCAATTCAAGAGGGCTGAATCAGGCAGTGGAGACCCCTGCTAAGCTGCAGCCCTGGGACGATAGGGGGATCTCTATTTCTCATACCTCTGATAGATGCCCTGGGTAGTCGGATGACAGGCCAGTGAGGCTGTGTCTGTTGCATTATATCTTTAAGGGGTCTGGCTGTGGGTATCCTACCTTCGCTTGATTTGATGTGTTCAGTAAGTTCTCAGGCTGGGTTTTTCTGACTGCTTTAGCATGCATGTGTGCCCGTGTGTTCCCAGCCCACTTGGATATGTTTATCAGAGGTACCCTGTGGCTTGCAGGAATATGCTATTTTTCAGCCTATGTCTCAGAGCTGTCCTGGATGGGTGATGATGCTTAACACAGGGAGAGGAGAAGTCACTCTGCCTCTAGGCATCTGCATTCAGGCGAAGCAAATTTTGGCTCTGTAAAGTGGAGTCCCTCAGGGCAGGGCACAGCCTGAGGCCGCTTTTTCCACACCGTGTGGAGTGACTTAGAACAGGGCTCCACACGCAGGAAGTATAGAGGCTGCTAAAGAATTCTTAAAAAGAGCTGAAATGCGGTGAGTGTTTCTGAATGTCGGACATCTGTTATAATGGGCAGAGCCGAGGGACAAGTTCAAGACCTAAGGGCTGGAGCCTGTAAACAGGACCCTATGAAGTGAAGACTGCAGATGGGCTCAAGTTCAGATGAGCTCATGGGGATGAGGATAGTCCCTCTGAATCCAATGGCTGATGGCTTTATAACAAGATAGACACATAGACATCCCTCAGAGAAGATGCCGGAAAGGAAGCCAGCATGGACACAGGGGCAGGGAACTGGAGAGAGGCCCAAGCAGACTGCCCCTCAGAGCCTTCTGCTTGGGACGCTGTGCTGTTGGTGATACGTGCCAGCAGCCCTTGGAAGCAAAATACACACGCTTAGCACTTTACATGGTGACAGTCCCCAACTTCAGGATGTTGACCTTATGGTGGTACAAAACTGATAAGCACTCAGCAGAAACCCCACTTCCAATTCTGAGTTTGAATCCAGGTTAGTACCATGTGGTCCAGGCCTCTCCTGCGATGCTAGGTGGTGGTAAAGACCTCAGCTCCCAATGTGATGCTCAGTAGAAGTCTTGGATGAATTTTCAACTGGTTCATTTTCAACTTAGGATGGATGGGCTTATGGGACATCAGCCCACTGTGGGCACAAGAGTTCCTGTATTTAACAGTTCTGTGGTGGGAAATGAAAAGAGAACAAATGAGACATAATTGGCAAACAGCAGGGAGAGGCCAGCTGGGGCAGGAAATCTGGCATCGCTGTGGGAGTGACTGGCCTTGGTGACATGTAATTTCATGTCAGCGGTGCACGGTGGACAGCAGCCTGCGAAATGCAGATGTTTGGAGATGGGAGAGTTACAGGGCATAAAGAGGAGGAAATGACCACGAGCTGTGCGTGTCCAAGCTGAGAGTGAGGTCCTGGGTCCAGATTTAGGAGGGATGTGAGCCTGAGGGGTCTCCCTGCAGAGATGGGAAACAAGCCGCCCCAGCTTCCCAGATTGGTACAGCTGGCCTGGGCTGGGTGGGGGCGGGTGGAGGGAGGGAGGGACGGAGCACAGTGGGTGTTTGTTTTATCAATCCTAATCTCTCTTCTGGCCCTGTAACACATTAGCCCCCAAACAGCAAAACATCTCTTTGCCTTCAGATTTCAGAATCTTCAGGACTAAAGGGCTGGGAACAGAGAAATAGCAAACAACAACAACAACAACAATAAAAAAACAAAACAAAACAACAACAACAACAAAAAAAAACCCTCTCCTCCATGAAGCATTTAAAAGACTTCCAGTGAACAACCAAATACATTTCACTGCTTGGGTTTTGTGTTTGTTTGTATGCCTCCTCTGGCTCTAAGCATGCGGGACTAAAAAAAACAAACCAAAAACCAAAACCCAAACCAGAGACTTCCGGCTCCGCGGCCCAGCCTGGCTGTCCTCTTTTGTTTGCGTGACAGAATCCGTCTGGTGGTGATTAAGGGGCTCCGTTTACTCCAGATTTCTGCCATTGTTGCAACTAAACGCTTGGATTCTGGTGTTTATATCAAGGTATGTAATTGGGAAGCATGCAAATTAGGCAAGTCTGTGAGCTGTAATTTCTCTGACTCAGAGGAGGGGGCTGGTAATGAAAACGGACGGTGAAGCAGGATTCTAAAAGCCGCTGGAGACCGCAACTGAACACTCCCCCCTCTTCAGGAAGTGGAGCACAGTCTCTCACAGCCAGCCTTGGCTTTGGGGTCTTCCTCCGCCCCATGCTATCCGGGGAAGAGCAATGTGACCCGGACCGTGCCTCGAGAGTTCCTCCCAAGGAAAGCACAGAGATTTCTTTTTATCAGCACCAAGTGAGGCTTCCCATGGAGTTGTAGTGAACCGTGCGGTGGATGGGCTGGTGGGCAGGCCTGGCTCCCCAGCCCGTGGGCAGGGTTGTCCTGGCATTGGGAGGAGAGCCCGGACCACTCCTGGTGTGCCCATTAGAAACACATGCTTGGCTCTCACACCCCATTTGAAGGGAGCTGTTATTGCTCAGCAGGGCCCTGAGGCTTTCACCCTTCTGGTGGAGTATGTGTGTCCTCGGAGTGGTCGGAAATGTTGCTGGGTAGAGCCAAGGTGACTAACATGCCACCCATATAAGAAGACACTTCCAGCAGTGTGGCTCCGGCTCCTGCATGGGGGTGAATAGGCCTCCTCCAATCGGCTCAGGCCTCCACAGCGCCCCCTTGTGGCCCTGACAGCACTGTGGCTCAGAATTCCTGAGATGAAGAAAATTAATTTTTATGAGACAAGAGTTGGCCACGTGGCTTCAACAATCGAAACTTGGTTTTCTGAGAATTAAGGCATCTATATCCCGGTATTATTTTGGACAAAATATCAGAAGTAACCGACATGTTTATGTCTGAAGCCGACAGAGGTGTTCCAGAACCTTCAAATAATTTCTGTCTTTGGCAGGTCTTTCCCTGACAACAGTGGCGAGTTCCACTGCTCTGGTTTCCACACACCCTGCAGGACAAATGTATCACTTGGCCAGATGGCTAGAGTGTGACCTGACCCTGAAATCCCCACACTCCAGCTCTACCATGTCCTCTCTCCTGTAGGCCAGAGCGAGGTGGTAGGTGGGAGATTTCCCAGGGAAGACAATGGAGAGAGGATCTGCTTTCCTTCTGCTGTGCCCTGGGCCTGGATCAGCCTTCCTTCCTTAATGAAGGCACTAGATCTAGCTGGAGCCTCCTGCAGCTGCTGAGAGCTATATTTTGCCCACAGTGCCCACCAAAAGGCAAGCTGAAGACAGTGTCTGGCTGGCTCAGCAGTCAATCCCCCTGGGCCAAGACACTTCACTCTCGTTGGCTGATAGCTTTCTCTTTCTCCAGCTCCTCTCTTAATTATGATAATTAAATGTTACGTAACCCTTTGACCGTGTAGGGTTTTTTGTTTTTTTCCTCATATATAAGTTCATCACTGGGGAACATGCTGGCTCTTTGTGTTTGGTGTCAAATCTCTGCCCACAAATTGCAACCATGTAAATATCGGGGAAAGCTGATTCTGAAACAGGCTGGATTGAGAAGCAGATAAATTACTATGATCTCTGGCCAGAAAAAAAAAATTTTTTTTCAGCTGGGCACTGGTGGTGTATCCCAGCACTCAGGAGGCAGAGGCAGGTGGATCTCTGTGAGTTCAAGGCCAGCCTAGTCTACAGAGTGAGTTCCAGGACAGTCAGTCAGGGTTACACAGGTTTTTTTGTTTTTGTTTTGTTTTGTTTTTGTCTCAAAAAAAACCCTAAATAAATAAATAGTTTTTTTTAAAAAAAAATTTACAGCTGCCACTCATGGGGGCTTAGGAAGAGGGGACAAGACAAAGCTCCGGAGGAGGATAGATGTGGCCTAGGAACACGTGGTTGGGTGTTAACCACTGCCTACCTCAGGCCAGCTCCTGTAGCAGAAGTGGTCCACACCTCTGGCTCACAGGCTTAGTGGCATCTGGATAATTTTGCTCCAGACCAAGTGCTGTCTTCAAAAGGTCATCTCTCTTCAGCTGGGTTTGGAGGTCCCCAAGAAGGAGTGGGAAGTAGATGTCTGTCAGCCACCACATCACTCAAGTGTGAACTTGGGGGAGGCTGTTAGATTACTCTCTTGCTTCAGCCATGTCTTAAAGGGCCCCTAGGAGAAAATCAAAATGGATACTTCATAAAGAGTTCTTACTCTTGACAGCCCCGAAGGATACTTGCCAGGTTCTGTGAACTGTAACCAAGTCACCACAACTTTGCCTGGCAATAGTCTCTGTTGGGACTCAGGAGACCCAAAGACAGGAACTGAAGGTGACATTCAAGTGGGGGTTCTAGGCCAGCATATCTGGGGGGCGTCTGGAGCCTGCGTTCCTGAAAGGCCCAGAAGTGCTCATTAAGGTCCTAGAAGATTCCTTGTGTGAATGGACTTTCCTGCCAGGCATGACAGGGCATGACAGGGCATGGCAGGGCATGACAGGGCATGGCCGCTCCCTCCTCTGATCTTAGGTTCTGTTTGATATGTATTTGTGTTGGTATCTTTGAGTAACTATAGGAAATAGGATGTGATTTTTTTAAATTAATATTTCAATTGCTAGGGTGTTTTTTCTATATTTTGTAGCTCTGGCTATCCTGGAACTTGATGTGTAGATCAGGTTGGCCTCCGACTCACAGAGATCTCCCTGTCTCTGCCTCTCAAGTGCTGGGATTAAAGGTGTGTGCCACCACACCTGGCTAAGCATTCCAGTTACAATCAAGGACATAATCTACTTTCTAATTTGTCTTGCAAGGACTCACCCCACCCTCTCCCGTGTGTGTGTGTGTGTGTGTGTGTGTGTGTGTGTGTGTGTGTACACTCAGGAAGCTGTGTGACATTCATACAAAGGTCAGAAGTCAGCCTTGAATGTCATTCCTCAGGCACCATTCATCACGCCTGTAAGACAGGGACTCTCACTGGCCTGGCACTCACAGTAGGCTAGGCTTGCTGGCCAGGAGTCCCAGGGGTCCTCCTGTCTCTGCCTCCCCAGTGCCGGGCTGACAACACAGACCACCACCCTGACTTCTGTCTGAGCTCTGGGACTGAACTCCAAGGAAAGCACTTTACCACTAACTCATCTTCTCAGCAGTCCCCTAACCTGTGAAGGTTGGTCCCTCCTGTGCATGCTTGGCCCTGTGCGAGCCATGTCCTATGAAAACAAAGGGGGGACCCACCAGAAGCTGCTGGGAGCATGCTCAGTGCATCTGTGGGTTTTCATTGTTGTTCCCAGGACTCTGACATCCCATCATTGGTGAAGCCCTTGAGACATCATAATAGTGGTGTTTGCTATTAACAGCCATGGGGCCAGGGGAGGCAGAGGGAGAAAGAAAGAGAGGGAGAGAGAGGGAGAGAGAGGGAGAGAGAGATTTCAGGTGTTTTGGGCTGTTGTTAGGTAGCTTAAGTTAAAGTTGAAGCAGAATTAAGGAGTAGGACATGAAATCAGTATAATTCCTAAAATGCTCATCCTTATACCCACAGATAAGGGTAGTGCTCGCCCTCTCTCAAGAGGCTTCTCCTCATAGCAATGGAGACCACTGCCTAAAGCCACAACTGGTCAAAATGCAGAGAACTAATCAGTTGTGGGGTACCCAGAGACAACAGATACATCCACACCCCAACTCCTCACTGAGCCTTAGGGGACATTTTATAAGGTGCAGGGGGGCAGGTGGGAGCAGAAATACTGTAAGAACCCGAAGACCAAGAACTCTACTTCAAGACTATGTCTCCTAGAAACAGCAGGGAAGCTATACCCTTGATACCTTGACAGTATGGCTGCCCAAACAAGCTGTGAGAAAGCACCATATCAACAGACATGCCAACCTGGAAGGGGGCATCTCATAGGGCCCCAGCCTGAGGTAAGGGAGAGGTCTGCCTTGGGGATGAACTCCCTAATTGGTTGTCTAGTACAAAGTGGACAGCCCTGAAATCATATACATGTAACCTACATGGAATGGACTCGGCAGGGTGTACTTATACATTTATCCACTTATACATTATAAAAAACAATAATAAAGCCAGGCAGTGGTGGTGCACTCCTTTAATCCCAGTGCTTAGGAGGCAGAGGCAGGTGGATCTCTGTGAGTTTGAGGCCAGCCTGGTCTGCAGAGTGAGTTCAAGGGCAGCCATGGCTACACAAAGAAACCCTGTCTTGAAAAACCAAAAAAAGAAAAAAGAAAAGAAGAAACAGTAATAATTCAAGAAAAGGGCCATGAATTTGAGGGGGCAGAATTGTGGGATGGAGGTAACAGGAGAAGGAGGGAGAAATTATGTAGTCATATTTAATTTTTTAAATTTCCATAATAAAATAAAATATTCAAAAGCAGGATGCTGGCCCTAGTCTTCGTGTTAAAACCACCCCATTCACTTCTAGACTATAAACTTGCAGAAAAGCCTTCAGTCTCTCTCTGCCAATCCCTCCCCTGGGTGCGGATGGCCTCATGGAGCCGATGCACACCCGGTCAGATGCAGCACCCACGGGTTCTCGAGATCATTGAGATGTTGTTTACACAAGTTCAGTTCGCTTCCCCTCTGCCCCCCAATTACTTGGAGTCGGTCTGCATTTAGAATGTCAGGAGGGCCCCCCTGTGGATATTCTAAGAGCTGTTATTTGCTGCTCCTGTAAGCCAGTGCTACAGGACACAGGCCCTCGCATCTGCTTTGTGTGTGCGCTGACAGAGCATGTGAGACAAGGACTTTGAATGGATATCCGTCGCCATGTGCAAAATGAGTGTGATTACAGGCTAGAGCGTGGCATCACCAAAAGCAAGGGCAAATCACAGCCGGTTCTGCGCATTACAGGAGGGTGCCTCGGGAGAAGTGGGTCTCTTTGGGGGACCTTCCAGCAAGAGGTTAATCAGAAGGGTCTCAGGAAAGTCTGTGCCACAATTTTTCCCAAAGCCACAGTCTAAATTTAATCAAATTCACCAGAACAAGTTTAAAATCTTTTCTAAAGGAAAAGGGGGGGGCAGTTTTTTTTTAATAAACTATCACATGTATATCAACCACCAAGAACTTACATTTCCCTCCAGAGTTTCCTCTCTCGCTTATTAC